TTTTTTTTTTTTTTTTTTTTTTTTTTTTTAACAGCGCACCACATACAGAAACAATATGTTTGTAAAATTTTCCAGGCACCGTTGCGCGCCCGTGGTAGAATACTATTATTACCTCCCCGAGTGTCGATAATCACGACCGCAAAAGGTTGTCCTCGTTAACGTCATTTCAACGCGATTAGCAAACGAGTGCCTCTTCTTCTCCGACGATCCTTCGCGATATATATTTATTATGCGTGCGTCTGTTTTTAATTAATTACTTTAGAAGGCATCACTGAATCTTATACAATACGTACGTATATACTATGTACAATACTATGCATTGCACTCCTTTCTGAAGGAACATTGTACTTAAATTTAGCTAACAGCACGGACTTTCTCTTTTTATAATTTCCTGACAATTATAACGAGATTTGGTGTTGTATGATGCGATATATAATATCTGAACAGATGTCTAGAGTGAGAACTTTAACAACGACGTAAGAAGAACAAAAGAATTTCTGACAAGAGTCGTTAGAGTAATTCACATAATTCACATTTATTGCTTCTTGCGAAAGTTTGGAAAATAGTGGAGGATATTATTTTCCCAGAAATTGAAACTATGCATCATTAACATTATGTATATTATACTTGTTCTAGTAAATCCGCAATGCACGTTGACGATTGCTTTACACTTAAACAATATGTTAGAAAGCATGTTAGAAAGATATAATCAACAAAATTTCGTGTTAAATACCATTTGAATGATCATTTTTAATGCTATATCATTTTATTTGTAAATAAATTGTTGGTAGATAATACATACGAAAAAAGTTTTCGAGGTCAAAGTTTTCGTATATATATTATGAGATATCGCGTAAAAATCAGTCATCGTCTGTCATTTTTATCTATTATTATTAGATTATTTTTGAATCCATGACTGAAGTATGTCAATTAATATATCAGTCATAGCGAGGTGCTCGTCGTACAATGTTATTCAGGAAATGCTATAAAGACCTATGGACGAGATATTTCGACGAAAAAAATAAAATTTTATATTAATAAACGCTGTACATTAGGAATTGACTTTTGTCCAAATCATCGATCGAGATATATCCAGATATATATCTTTACTAAAAGAACACACGCGAATTATTTCATTCGTAGCACATCGCGAACGATTTTGCAACGATTGTGAGACATTTCGTCCGACAAAGAGATTAAAAAAAGAACAAAACTATATGCAGTTTGGTATACGACAAGAACTGTTATGTATATACATTATTTTTTGTAGCCCTTCGTCGAGTGAAAACTCTTTGATGACACGATCGTTTTACCCAAGTATCGAGAAACTATCGCCATAATTTTATCGATAGGCGTGCGATCAGTCACAGAGACATCAGTCTATCGACATTCGCAATTTCAAATATTTAAAGAGAAGGATTTTTAAACAAAATTTGTTTAACAAACAAGTTCAAGAATTAATTTATCTGTTAGTTTTGAAATTATAGATTCCGAAAAGATAATGATGAGAAATGTTTTTCATATTCTTTCACTGAGGAACGTAATTAAATAGGAATAAAAAAAATCACGGAATATATTACGCAATTGCCACAAGTAGGCAATTACGTAATATACGAGATTACGTGATATACGTAATATAAGAATACGAGAAGCGTGTTCGTATTGTTGTAATGAGAGTAAGTTTTTATTCGCTTTGCGTTGCACGTTGCGTATTTTCGTAAGATTTACGTGCTCTTTTGCAGAAAAAATGTATTTTAAAAATTATCTGATTTTGAACTAAAGGATTAATTAAGAGCCTGTTTATCTTCTGTTATCGATATATCAAATTTAACATATGTACTGTAGGCATGAACTGCGATATAAAAATCGATCGGCAAAAGTTATACGAACCGGCACACACCAGTTATTAATCACCGCGATCCTAAAAATCGACTCGCAAAGAGATTTAAATCGGTCCATAAATTTACACATCATTATTCTTCCTTTGCGGTCACG